CAATGAGAAACATAGAAAGAGGTTTTCTTTTGCTTCCTGATCATAGGGAGGAAAGGAAATTTTAAACCAACATGTTTTGCGGGAGGGAAAGGGAAAGTCACTGCAAAATGTTGAAGACCAGGGGTGCAAGCACATACTTGTATTAACATCTCCCATCCCTGGAGCTGCAGTAATTTGCATGACATTATCTACCTGGGATGTTGCTATGGTTATCACCATACATAAGTAATTACCAGGGCAAATTGCACATACAGCGCACGGATTCACGCTGTCAGAAGCAAAGGATCTTTTCATACACTTGAAAATGTACATGTTTGAAAAAAACACTAATCACAAAGATTCCTGATATGAGAAAAACTTCTGGAGTGCTCCAAAATTGTTGTTCACTATGCTTGCTGACACTTTAAGGACCAAGTTAAACCATGTCCAAGTGAAGAGAGACGCTGCACAGGCTCAGTAGAAAATCAGCAGAAAGTCACCAGTGGCAGTAAGCAGAAACCAACCAGCAGGAAAAGTAGAAACCCCTGCCAAAGAGTTTAAGGTATAAGCAGATGAGAAAGGCAAAGAGAAGGAGAAGGGGTGTATCAGACAGAGCAAATAAGATTGTCAGCTTCCTTGACAGCACAGGCCATGATTATTTTGGGTAGATTCTGTCATGAAACTTTCTTCTGGCAACTGGGCACAAAAAGATGAACAGAAGAGAAGGAGGAGAGAGTGATGTAGGCTACACCCATGCTAAGAAAACGACAAGAGATGTGGTGTTGTGATGAAGCAGCTAGTCAGGACAAGCCAAAACTAAGTCGAATCAAAGTGGTTCTCCACAAGTTTCCCCATTTTCTCTCCTGCAAAGTTTTGCTGCTGTTTGCAGGCTGGGATCTGATTGTGCTCCCTGTGGCTTCCCACAGGAGCTGAGACAAAAGTCCATCTACACTCAAGCTGAAGAGCAATTAACACCCAGCAGAATTTGGATGAAAGTAAAAATACAGAATATCTAATGCTAGCTCATACAAAGTAAATTAGACATTAAAAGCTCATTCTGAAATACTGATCCTTTACACTTCCAATAAAATGCAGCTGCACTCTAAACAAACAGCTTGAGCTGCAGTCTACTGGTATCAATGAAAACTTTCCAACAAGTTTGAAGAAGGTGTTCTGTGTCCTCAGGAAAAGACAAAGCTCTAAAAATAGTGCTGATACTGTGACCTGAGTAAACCACATTAGGCTAACTAGAATGTAAAATATAATTCTGAAAACCACAAAATAACATTTCTACAATTTCATTTGAGGTGGCATACAGAAGTCTCATATCCACTCAAACGAATCGTATTTTCCATGTACAGAGAAATACTGTGATTATTCCAGATTTACAAACTACAGTAGAACTGAGGAAAAAAAAAAGTAATCTTTTTCATTTGTAGCTTCTCTTAAAAACAAGTTCTTTTGTTTACTTAGAAATCATCTGCTTCTCTCAGACATATATTTCTACCTCCTAGTACTACCAGGATACTAAAATGCCATCAAATATTTTGACTATTTAAACAGCTAGAACTAGAAAAACATAGAGGTATGCTCTGAGAAGTGTGACAAGAGCAGGTATGAGCCAGCAGGCAGTCAGAAAGCCCAGCAGCCCTTAGGGACCATTTGCATGGCCTCAGGGAAGTGACAATTAACGATGTCCAGAAACACTGGCTAAAGATGCAAGATATGTGTAACCTCATTAGGATAAAGGCAGGCTGAAGAAAAAGAGAGATGTGAAATAAGTCATCTCAGGCTTTATCCCAGTGACTGAACACCCAGGGTGACAGGAATACTGTAACTCTAAATATATTTCATACAACATAGTTTGTTGGCTTTAAATATCTCAGTGAAAGGGAAAGTAAATATGTGAAGAGCAAAATGCAAGATGGAAAAAGTGAGATAAATATTGTTAGATTCAGAGGAAAAATGCTATAAACAGTAAGCAAAGCTCTTTGATTTGCACTGTTTTCCAGCCCATAAAACCCTAATATCTGCCAGCATTTCATTAAAAGCTTATGAACTACCCAGCATGCCTGCTCCTGCATAAATATATTGCTAAAAACCACTGTTGATGTTGCAGATCTGGTATTTTGCAATGTTTCAAAGAAACCTTATGTGTATAAAACTCAGATGCATTATTGAAAGACGTGGGCATGGTGAAAATAGCCCCACAAACTCTAAAACTAATTAATCATTCAAGAGCAGGAAGTTTCAGAGATGTTCAAAGTAATATCTCTAAACCAGAAAATACAAATATTTTAAGAAATAGGCATAGTGGAGAAAGGACTTAAGAGAAAGCTACCATTTTGTGAATTGAGTAAAAAGAGTCGAAGGCTTCACAGAGGATTGGGAGTTCAAGGTCACGACAGCCCAACAGCAAAATCTGTAAATGTTAACCTGAGTGATGCAAAGATCTGGCAATGCTAAGACTGACCAGATCAACAACTGTTCTGACTGAATGTGCAGCCTATTCTCAGCATTACAAACTCAGACTTCAGCCCTCTAAGGACAAGTAACGGCAATATCATTCCTTTTCCACAAAAAGTCATATTGGATCAATCAAATGTTTATTGTTATTACCAATGGTCCCAAACCGAGTCTGGAGAGATCAGGACACTCATGATTTCCCATCTTTCATAAGATCCCCTGCATTTCAGGGCTCGTTCTCACTGGAACCCAAACACAGGGCAGAATTAAAATGTTCCAAGGAGCAGAACCCACATCCCTGAGGCGAAGCCTCCCGGTGTCTGGAGGCTTTCCAGTGATCAACCATGTATGCACTTAGCCCATCCTGCATTGCTCTTACTGCAGCTCTCCTCACACAAGTGCCTCCAAATTGTTCTGACAACAAAACACAGACATTCATTTCCCACATCTCTCAACTTCATATCCCTCTGCTGCTAAGATCAAGCATCAAGCTGATGTTTGATTACAACAGTGATGGGGTGAATGGGCAGTAAAGCCCACCTGTTACCCATGCAAATGACTTGTCTCAACTAGCAGCACACTCTGGCACTTGTGGATATGCAAACTAAAAATTCAGCACCTCAGCACACACCCACCTCTGGAATAAGGTTAATTACAGTATTATAGATGTAGGAAGCAGAGACAGGAATATTAAAAGACCAAGACAGAAAAAAAGAGCCATATCTGAATTATTGCACAAACATGAGATTCCTGAATACGTTAACAAAAAACGTGGTTTTGAAGGTAGATGCTTAATAACAAACAAATAAACAAATCAACAAATCCAAACACAGCAGAAGGATTACATCTCACTAGCTCTGGAAACTCAAATGCAGTTGGTCTGATCAGCTGAGCCATTCTCAAGCTGCCACATGCCCATCACAGCTCTCACCAAACTGCACTGGAGCTGTGGATGCACAAACAGCCCCAGAGGACAGACTGCCCAGGCCCACCGAGTGACTGAGCTCCAGGGGGTGCACTAGTGTTCCTCTCTGTCTAATTAACTAACAAACCAACATATCTGACTGTTTAAAGCTTTGAAATCTGCTGCTGTTGTCAATGGTTCTGAGGCAAACCAGCACTAGCCCTGCATGGCTCTCACTCCTGGCATGAGTCACAAAAGGCAGAGGACAGCACACGTGGAAATCTCCATCACCACATTTCTGTGGTCATTACAAGCAAATCCTCTACCAGGCATCAGCTGTATATGAGCTTTAGGTCAACAGGAGTTCTACCCGTGCAACAAGAGCACAAGGGGAAGCTGTGGGTTGGTGCAGCACCCTGCACATCCATGTCAGTGGTACACCCAAAGGCCACATCAGACGTGGTTTGTACACACTGTGGGCTGGGCTGACAAACCAGTTATTGCAATTTGGAAAAGTAACAATGGATGCACCAGCCTTGGTGGTGGAGCACAGCTCACCACAGGACCCCTTAGCAACAGGGTCATTACCCTGCAGTGTGCTGCACACAATGACAATCTTCTCTGCACTCTGCTGTTTCTGGAGTTGTGAATTACTGTGTAACATAGGAAAAAGGATCATACTGGGAGAAGGAATCAATTTCCTCTGTCTAGAGACTTTCACGACTGTCTACAAAATAAATTTCACTTCAGGCAAAACAAACAAAAACTTTTTCTTTTGCTATATGGTTTGGGCTTCCCGTCTCCCACATTTTCAGGATCACAAGTGCAGTTCCCTTATAGTGACAGCGAGCCCCCCACGACAAACATCCTTTGTGAGAGTGCTGGCAACCTTTTCTGTACCCCAGAGTGGTGCCTTGAACCCCAGTGTGGGACCCTGTACCCCAAAGTAGTGCCCTGAACCCGACTGTGATGCTCTGTACCCCAGAGTAGTGCCCTGAACCCCACTGTGATGCTCTGTACCAAGAGTGGTGCCCTGAGCCCCACTGTGATGCTTTCCCCTCGTACTTTTCGGGTATCAACACTCAAGACAGCGTGCAGGGATTTCTTTGTTTGTGTTCCAATCACACTTTTTGTCTTTTCCCAAACGATTTAGGATGACAGCAGCAACCATCATCAAGCCGGCGCTCCGGACGAGCGAGCAGCAGCGGCGGGACAGCCCCGAGCCGCTGTTTGGAGCTGCCGCGGTGTTTGTCAGGCTGGGCTCGGGGCGCTCCGGCGATGGAGCGGCCCCTCCGCTCCGCCCGCCGGGGCTCTGCCCGCGGCCCCTCCGCTCCGCCCGCCGGGGCTCTGCCCGCGGCCCCTCCGCTCCGCCCGCCCGGCTCTGCCCGCGGCCCCTCCGCTCCGCCCGCCGGGGCTCTGCCCGCGGCCCCTCCGCTCCGCCCGCCGGGGCTCTGCCCGCGGCCCCTCCGCTCCGCCCGCCCGGCTCTGCCCGAGGTCCCTCCGCTCTGCCGGCCCCGCCGCCGGCCCCTGTGCGGACGTGGCGCAGCCGGGCAGGGCGCGCTGCCAAAGGCCGGGCCGGGGGCGGAGCGGGCCGGGGCGGGGCGGTGGCGGGCGGCGGAGCGGAGCGGGGTGCGAGCCGGGCCGGCGGAGCATGGCGGGCGGCGGGGCACTGAGGGCGCTGCCCGCGCTGCTGCTGCTGCTGCTGGCGGCGGGCGCGCTGGGCAAGCCCACGGCGCGGCAGGAGCGGGCCCGGGCCGGAGCCGCTCAGCATGAGGACCGGCCCGGCTTCCAGTACGACCACGAGGCCTTCCTGGGCAAGGAGGAGGCGCGGAGCTTCGACCAGCTCAGCCCGGAGGAGAGCCGGGAGCGCCTGGGGTGAGCGCCCGGCCCGGGCGGGAGACGTGGCAGGGGGAGGGCCCGAGCTGGGCCCGGGGCGGAGGAGGCGGCCTGGGGCTGCCTGAGTGTCCGAGGGGACAGCGGGGCTCTGCACCCCAGAGCGGTGCCCTGAACCGCAGTGTAGGACCCTCCAGAGTGGTGCCCTGAACCCCACTGTGATGCTCTGTACTCCAGAGTGATGCCCTGAACCCCACTGTGATGCTCTGTACCCCAGAGTGGGACCCTGTACCCCACTGTGATTCTCTGAACCCCAGAGTGATGCCCTGAACCCCAGTGTGATGCTCTTTACCCCACTGTGGGACCCTGTTTTCCAGAGTAGTGCCCTGAGCCCCAGAGTGATGCTCTGTACCCCAGAGTGGTGCCCTGAACCCCACTGTGATGCTCTGTGCCCCAGAGTGGGACCCTGTACCCCAGAGTGGCTGCAGGTTGAACCTCTGGGTTGTGACTTCTCTCCCACCCCGCTGGTTTTGCAAAGGAGCAGCCAGCAGTCCATGGCTTTGGTGTTCCTCCCTGCTGCCTTTTCTAGCCCCACAGGAATAAGGCTCTCAGAGGGAGCTGCTGTGCTGGACCTGCTGCTGGAGGCTTTGCTGCTGCTGCTCCCTGGCCCTGGGACACCTGCCCACACCACAGCAGTGTTAATCGAGTTTAAACCATTCCTTCTCTACAGCCACGCTTACAAGTGCACTTCAAGCATCTTCCCACTTGTGCCTTCTTTGCTCACAGTGTTTCAGCTGCTGTTACTTCCATGCAAAGGCCAGGGACCATGCCTTACTTTACTGCTTCTCCCTCCTTTACACCTACAGGAAGCCAGATCACTAAGCAGAACTAAATTTAATAGGAGTTAAAGAAAGATCCTTTATTGTAGTTACCACAAAGAAGATTGCTTAAAATACCCTGCATGCTCTCACTTAGATCCCCCCTGCCTTCTCTTCCTCAGGGTGTTGCACTTGCTAATTTTCTGTCTAGTCCTACCATAAGCAGTAGCACTGCAATCTCACTCTTGATCCTTCCCAAAGCTGTCACTGCTATTTACATGTCTCACAGTGAGTAAACAGATGAAGTGATTACCAGAACTGATTGACTCCATCCTCATTGTTTCAGGAAGGAGCAAAAGAAACCATGCTCTCAGCATACATGGCTATGACCTCTAGGTCACCTTCTCATCCCTTGTGTCACCAAAATGGACGTGCCCTCCTAATATTGGTCTGCACTTACTGGTACAGATAATTCAGTCAGGGATATGATTTAACAATACAGGTGTTTTTAAACAATTTTTACAAATTGTAAAGCAAGGGAAGAAGTTTTAACTTCCACTGATCTCACTGATAGCCCTTTGGAGGGGTGACACAGGCACAGTAAAGTACAGCCATAGTCAATAATTACCTTTTAAATGGAGGTGGCTGAAGTGGCCCTCTGAGGACACATTGAGGGTGAGCACTGTGCATCTCAGCATCAGGGATGTGGCTCCTGGGGGACTTCTGGGAAAGTTTCATAACTTCCAGCATTCCCCAACCGTGGTATCATTTGTGAATTTTGGATAGCAGCACACTGGGAGGTAAAGAGAGGATTAAAAAAACATCTTGTGGTTTAATAGTCACATGCTTAACCCCTTCTCCCCATTTTTGTTATGGGCAACTTCTGTAGTAGGTTACAAACAGAGTCACTTCTCAGCAAGTGACTGCTCTTAGGAAGAAGGCAGATTTAATTAAAAGCTATTTTTAAATGATTTCTGGGAGAAAATAGAAACATACAGTCTGCTGCTCTAGCCAGAGTGCATGCTGCTGCTATAAGGCATTTTACCTTGCTTAGGAAATGTGGCAGCACATTGGTCATCCCAATAATAACAGTAAAAAGTGAAGTCCACACAACAGCTTCTTACCTGTGCCTTTGGGAGCCTGTAGACTTGTTTTATTGTCCCCAAGACTGTTTTATTGTCCCCAGTTTCAGCTGAGAAGTGGGGTGGAATAGTGCACATGGATGCAATGGACCTATAAAAACAGGTGAAAAGGAGAAGACATGAAACATTTTCTGGTACACAGAAAATGTGTACCTGACTTCTTTCATGTTACACATTGCCAAGAGCTACCAGCATAATCATTTAATACCTTAACAGTAGAAAGAAATGCCAGTTAAACAAATGAAATTAAATCATTGTGGGGAAAATCTGGTGACAAATAGAGTCCATCATGCAGGGAAAGGGACCACTGGCAACTGATGAATACAGAAGAGAAAGATTTTCTAGTCAGTTCATCCACACTTCACTAATTCAGAAAGGAAATTCAGCAGCCCCTTTTTTGCCCCATAACTCAAACAACATGTTCATAAAATCAGTCTGATACTATCAGACTCACACAAGATTGCTGCTGATATTTCAGCGACCACTTTTGTAACAAAGGCTTGGACAGACATTGCTTCACTACTTGGGCAGTTCCAATTGGCCAAATGTGGTTTCTTTGTGGAGAACCAAGATGTGGAATTGAAAAGAAGTGCAGATCTTTTTCCCTGAGGTTTAGAGAGCTCACCTGTGTCAAGTCAGGATTTAGACAAGTCAGCTTCTGCTCTTCCCCCTGCATTCCAATGGCATGGCATGAGCTGGCCACTGGCTGAGGCACAGATGAGGCACTGCAGACAGGCTGCCCCTGCACCTCATGGGCAGGGTGAAGGGTGCTGATGTGCCCAAAGCCAGCCTGGATGTGCCAGACAGCCAAGGTGCATGTGCTCAATTCCAAGAGCAGGCACAGAAGGCAGTTTTACAAGCTCAGCCCCGAAATGGTGGAGTTCATCAATTGCAGAGAGATTAATTGCAGAGAGATTAGTTGCAGAGAACATAAATGGTATAGAGAGCATTGTCCTTTTTTTTTTTTTTTGATTTTTTTTTGAACTGCAGCTGTGTGCAGAATGTTTCACTCCTGCTGATTCCAACAGTGCTGGCAGCTTTACACTGGACAAAGGTTTATAGCCCAGCTGCCAGCAATGGATGGAGACCTGCTGCAGAACTGATACTGCTTTAGTGAGTAACAGGCATTCCTGGAAACACCAGCAGTACTGGTTTGCACTGGGAATCAAAGAAAAGAAACAAGCGGAGGGACAGGCATGCAAGGGGAGACTGTACCTGGTGTACATCCCCAGCATTACACACTCGTATACTCACTTTACCCTGATGTCAGCCTGCTGGAAAGCCAAAGGAGAAACTGGAGGGGTCCACCAAATCCTGGATTTTTGCCCTGGTTGCCTCCAGCAAGTTTGAGTTCAGGCTTTGTCCTGAAGTGGTGTCTGTCACAGACATATTTTCTGAAAAATCCCTTTGCTAGGATTTTTCCTGCTGAGAAGCCTCAGAGGAAAAGGAAAACAATGATTATCTGCTGCTGTGGAATGCAACAGGTGCATCTTTGATTGGTCCATGTGAGTTGTTTCTATTTGATGACCAATTGCAGGTCCACCATTCTTTTCCTTGTTAGCCTTCAGATGAAATCCTTTCTTCTATTCTTTTAATATAGTTTTAATATAGCATTTTCTTTTAATATATCATAAAATAGATCATTTTCTTTTTAATATATCATAAAATAATAAATCAGCCTTCTGAAATATGGAGTCAAGTTTCTCATCTCTTCCCTCATCCTGGGACTTCTGTGAACACCACCACAGGTGTCTCCTGCTCTGAGCCAGCACAGCTACTCCCTGCAGGCAGTGAAGAACAGATGCCCCTAAGACAGGAGGCACAACCTAAGAAAAAGAAAGCCAGGTATTCTCTGCTCACTAATTTTGGTTGTGCAAGTTTCCTTTGAGTTATTCATAGCAATGCTGAATAACAAATAGAGACACATTCCTTTAGATGATGTGTAAAATGCAGGAAAGCCTTAACCAGTAGGACAGCTTTAGGAGTTTGGGGCACTCTGTTTTTGTGGAAAATCAGGGCCAGATAAAGATTACTAAAATTGGCCTGACGTGCAGTTGGGTTTTAAAGATGCTGATCTCTTTTTACAGGAAGATTGTGGATAGAATAGATGATGACAAAGATGGCTATATCACAACAGAGGAATTAAAAACCTGGATTAAACGAGTGCAGAAACGCTACATCTATGAAAATGTGGCCAAAGTTTGGAAAGACTATGATCTAAACAAGGATGATAAAATTGCCTGGGAAGAATACAAACAAGCCACATATGGTTATTATCTAGGTAAGAGAACAGATTGTATGATCAAGGATTTTTGAGATTATAAAATATGATTTCTTGCCTTGCAGACAACTGGAGGTTGTTGTCACATTTAGGACTCTTGAAGCTCACATTAAATTTTATGGATGCTCAGAGGTCAAAAGCACTTTTTAGTTATTTATTGCAGCCCTTTGCACATGGGTCACCAGCACAGAGAAGGTTTTGGAGAGGTATCATTAAATATACTGACACAGCTGAATTAAAGTCTCCTCCAGTTAGAAATATATTATTTTTTAGCATTGAAAAAGGTACTTTAATTAAAAAATAATATATTATCTAATTAACTGTATTTGTGAATTTAGTCTCTAAAATCCGGTCTAGATGTTAAAAATGTAGCCTGTGTCTAAGCTACAGCAAAGTTATTGATTAAAATCATTCTTGCAGAACAACATGCTTCAGACTGTGATCAACAGCAAATGAAAATCCTTAACAAATCAGGCAAAATAAACATTTATTAAAAAATATACCTGAATTCCCCCCACCCCCCTCCACGTTCCCTTTGCTTTTATAAGTTAATGAAGGAAGAGGAGGAGAAGAGATCACTTAAGCTAAAGGGCAATACTGACAGAGCAACAAATCAGTATTAATTGACCATTTATACTTACTGGAAATGAGAAAACAATATTTACCTACCACAGAGGCAGTTTCTAGAGCAAGCTTCCTGTAGCAGTAATAATTCCAAAGTCTACCTTACATTTAAATGGAGTTTGTTACATTTGTGAAAGGAAGTATTTGACACACAGTCCCTGCAGAATTATCCCTGGAACCCTTCTCAGCCCTTTGTCTTTGCTCCCTCTAAGCCCCAAGATTTGGAGAGCAGCATTGTGGGCTTGTGTTAATGAATACTTAAAATTCCCATCTGTAATTCCTGACCCAGTCTTTTTCGCCTGTGTTTGTCTCCCAACATGTGAATTGTAAAATTGTTATGAGTATTTTTCATTTTTAAAGTCAGTTTAATGATCCTATTTTAAAAATTATATCAAATACCATTCCTTTTATGCCAGTGAACACTCTGAGAAAATGCCATTGTTTTAAACTGAAAATAATTGTTAGGTTCCCTGTAGCAGAGGCATAGCACTGAGATAATTTCAGTCAGTCTGCCACCTTCTGAAACCACATTTCCTTGGTTTGCTCTTCTTGAAACTGAAAAGTATGTGCATCATACTGATTCCTAAAGCTGAAGAAAACTTCTGTGAATGAAGTCTACCCCAAATATTGCCACAGTCGTACCTGTAAAGGCAGATAAAAAAAAAAAAATCTATGAGGGAATACTGCAAAATCCATTATTCTGGATTGTAACAGAAGGCTTGCTCAGAAATCTACCTCCTACTACTGTCACCTTTAAAAATCAAACAAGTATTTGACCCCTGAATTTAAAACCTTATGGGGAAGACAATTTCCATTAGAACAACAGCTATTCTGGCAATAAACCTTTTTATTTCTAGATTCAAGCAGCTTTGTTTTGCTAGTATGTTTTAAAGGAAAAGACCTCTGAGATCATCTTGATTTGTCTGCAGAAAATCCAGAAGAATTCCAAGATGCAACTGATCAGCACAGTTTTAAGAAAATGCTGCCCAGAGATGAAAGACGATTCAAAAGTGCAGATCTGGATGGAGACTTGGCTGCCACTCGTGAGGAGTTCACTGCTTTCCTGCACCCAGAGGAGTTTGAGCACATGAAAAACATTGTTGTCTTAGTAAGCAAAGCAAAATCAATGCCACTGTTTCCACTTTTATGGGTGAACTTTGAAGGCTTCTCTCACCTTTCCAGGCAGGGTTTAGGAAGAGACACACACATAATAGCTAAGTGGGGAGCAGAAAGGGGTGCCTTTCATGGTACTCACTTGGTTTAGAAGTCTCAACATAAGAAAGACTTTTTAAGTGCACTTAGACAGCTCCTAAATGGAATCAAGAAACAATCTTGGGGCACAGACTTAAACCAAAATAAAAGGAGGGTGTGCTGACATGCAGCAGCTGAGTGTTTCATGCAAGCTGGTATCTGCCCCTAACATAAGCAGTTCATTCATACAGGGAATTTTTTCAATATGAAAGGATATTTTTATATTCATTGTGTAAAACAACAGTCCCACTGGATTCAGTGAGACTACATTCACTTGTGTACAGGGGCAGGTCAAGGCCTCAGAACATTAAATTATCAAAGGCAGGTAATCAGAGCTCTCAGTTTTTTCTTGATGACTTTCATGCAAAAATTGTTTTCCAGGAAACATTAGAAGACATAGACAAAAATGAGGATGGTTTTGTGGATCAAGATGAGTACATTGGTAAGTGTTGTTACTCGTTTCTTATATAATCTCCAGTCCATTTTTTCCATCTTGTCTCAAATTAGCAGCAGCATTAACGACCCAGAGCAAACAGTTCAACTATTTTATACCAACCATCCAACACAGAAAGTTTAATTTCATTTTAGGTAGACAGCAGCATGACCAGGAAGAATTCCTCATGCTTCACAACACAAAATTCTCCTCTTGTTCTTATTTAACTCAGCTAAGAGTTATATGAGAACAAAAGAAGAGAATCTGGAATAATATTTTTCATGACAGAGATAATCTTTGTATATTGCACCATGTTAACTGCTGTTTGAAGGCATTGTTTAAAAATGCAGGAGGATCAGAAAATGAATTAGTCTTTTCCCAAATAAATGGTTTTGGATGGTTCTCAAATATCCAAAACACCTGGGAATCAACCATTGCAAAAAGGGAAAGTTCACCTTGTTCCTACTAGGTTTTTTTTTCCTAGCTTAATTAGTAAGTAAAGCCCATACTTCTGTACTGATGATACCATTCTATTTTGATGAGTTTTAAATCCAAAAAGTAGCACTAAGAAGGCATTAGTGCAAAGTTGGATGAAGCTTTCTGTTTCTAGTGGTGCTATAAAGATCACTTCACATAGAATCAGGAACAATATACACACACTAATTAATGGCAGGGGGTTCTGTTCCTTGTAAATTATATTTAGCCCAGAAAGTGAATGCTATTCATCTATGACTGAAATAACAGAGCAGCATAATTTCCACAGTAATTTCAGTTCATTCAGTGACATTACCTACATATAATTATAAGGTAATTGTCAACATTTGTTACCATGTGAATGCTGGTTTTTCTTGTCTTCTATAGATAGGAACATAGAATGTTCTAGTCACGATCACCCCACATTGGCAAGGATGATAAAAATCAAATTGACAGGACATGTCAGTTGCTTCAAATAAACAATATAATTTGCACTTTAAAAAATGAAAAAAGAAAGTGAATGTGTTGTCTGAAGTTTTCTTCCTGAGTTGAGAAAACTATGCTTAAAATATTCTTACTTTCCTTTTTCAGAAGTAATTTTTTTAAATTTTGATGAAGTTGGGATTAAGAACAGTAAACTAAATCTCTTCTTTGCTAGTTTATAAGGAGCAACAAAAGAAGTCCAAAATTTTCAGTCTCTAGATGGAGTATTTGTTGGGGAGATTTGTTGAACCTTATAGAATGATCCCACCCTCCTTTCCCTTCTTTGCTCCCATTTTGTCTTTTGCAAAATTTGGTTTAGATTTACACAAGCAGCGGAACAAAATACCTATAAAGATGTTGAGCAGAGAGAACTAAATTCTCACTGTGCATGGGCAGGTAACAGAGTATTTCAGGGACACTGGGGACAGTGACAAGGGAGAGCCTCAGCCCAGTGTACACACTCCCACTGCAGGGTCAGGGGGGGTTATTCCTGCCTTGGAATTCAGCATTTGTGTTTCCCACAAGATACCAGCCAGCCTCTGACCCTCACACCATCCATGAGGGTCCTTGAAAACCAAATCCAAAAGGCACTGGAGAGGACAGGAGTAGGCTTTAATTCTAGATAGAGAAGTGGAAGACTTGAGGAGTAAGATGAGTAAGAAAGGATTGGCCACAGTGACCAGAAGGATGATGTAGACACACCACTCATGATTTGGAAAGCCCTGTGATGTAAAGAACATTGGTTTTAATAATCACTGCTGCTCTGCTGTGTTTATGCAGAGCATAAACTGTGGTGTGGTCCTACCAAAGCTCCCAAAATGCAGCACAGGAGTAATGTGCAGAGCAGCTGGGGTGTGTAACCTCTGCATCCTGTCACAAACACTGCTCCCTCCCCAGGTCCCAGTCTGTGACAAGTGCACTGTGCCTGTGGCTCCTCACACAGTGCACCATGACTCCTGACTACTCCAGCTCTTTCCTGGAAGAGTGGCATCTGCTGGAATGTGCTGCAGCACTGCATGGTTAAAAGAGAACTGATCTCCTAAGCTGAATGTCTCTCACACAAGACTTCTCTAAAAGCAGTACAAATGCATGCAGGTTCCATTTAGCAATTTTTGTTTGCCTAAATCCCCCCTGTGCCTTTTTTTCCTGTAATCGCTCTGCTGGCTGGAGTCTGATCTTATCCACAAAGACATTTGCTGGCAGGGACAAGATAAAATGGCTGAGTTCCTTTCTCCCCATGTGACCAAGCCTAGCACTAAAGCTTAAGACTGCTGTTCATCCATAGATCCTTAGAGGATTTTGTTCATTCTGAAATTCAGATGATGGCCTTTGAACATGTTAGCCCCACCAGAAGTGCACAGGTATGCTACAGGGTGCTGTGAGAATGGGCAGGATCACCAGCAGTGAAGAAACAGGCCTGAGAAGATACAGCTACTCTATCTACACCCCACATTTCCTTTTCTGTACTGAGACACTGTGCAGAGAATGAAAAGTTCAGTCCCCTCTGAGGAACACTGTGAAAATATCTTTATTTTGTGCTTAATTTGCAAAGTAAATAGGACTCAAGTAAGACCCTTATTTCCTCTTCAGCTGATATGTTTGCAAATGAAGAGGGTGGACCAGAGCCCGACTGGGTGATTACAGAGCGCGAGCAGTTTTCAGATTTTCGTGATCTCAACAAGGATGGAAAGATGGACAAAGATGAGATCCAGCACTGGATCCTCCCCCAGGACTATGACCATGCACTAGCTGAAGCCAGGCACTTAGTCTATGAATCTGATGTAGACAAGGTATGTGGTGCTCCAGTGTTGTTTTTAAAGAAGTTATATGGGTCTTGTGGGGTTTTTAAAATACCAGCTTGCAAGAATTTATTCCTAATAACTTTTCTTTAGAGGCTAGACTTGCTAATGGATTAAAGAGGCTAGACTTTTCTTTAGAGGCTAGACTTGCTAGTGGATTAATGTTTCCATGCCAATTTCAGTTGGTGGTATTAGAATTACAAAGTGTTACAATACAGTTTATCAGCTCTAGAAGGTCCCCTGGCTTTCATTAGGTGAGATGAGAAACTATCACTGTTTTAACACAGCAAAAAATACTCCTTTTCCTTTAAGAGTGGTCACTACTTTTGTATGTTAATATAGACTAAAAGAGGAAAATAAAGTTACATTTAGATACCCCTTGTACTCAAATTAGGGGTAGCAAAACCACTCTCAGTTCTATATTCAAGCACCTTTCACTTAAACACTGGCTCTGATGAGGGACAGTATATGAGTACATGAGGAACCTGAAAGCCAAAATGCTCTGAACACAGAAACTGCTAACATAAGCAACCACTTTCCACAAAGTGCACCCGAGGATTTTTGGTTTTACAGTCAGGAAGATGAACCAAACCACAAAACTGTGCACCAGATAATCCACTGTTAACCCACTGTTCCTACTGCTGGGCATTACAAAGAACTTTCAGTTAGCAGTTTCACCTACCTGAAGCCTGTTGGACTTCTGTCTTCCACTGAGGCCCAAATTTCACAATTTCACTCACTGTGACAGCTACAAATGATTGCTGAAGCTGCAGTCTGCTGCTATGAAGATCTGACTGTTTCCCAGGGCTCTTGCAAGTCTGTGCTGGTGTGTCTTAGACTTAGTTCTGAAAATATTCTTACAGAGGTTTGTTGTTTTTTTTTTTTTTTTCTTCTACCAGGATCAAAAACTAACAAAAGAGGAAGTTCTAGACAACTGGAACATGTTTGTTGGAAGTCAAGCTACTAATTATGGGGAGGACCTCACGAGGAACCATGATGAGCTATGATACAGTGTGTCACACATCTTTTCTCCACCTTACTGAAATCTCCGTGACCATCCCCTCCTGGAGGGAAGATGGGCAAGGGACACTCACAACTGAATGACTTGCATTAATATTATTTTTAACATGCCAGCTTATTACCTCAGAAACCACATAGAAATAGCTTTTCTACTCCTTTCACATGGTGAATACAATCTTTAGTTACTAGAGTTTTATTTTTGAAAAAATTAAGAAGGTAACTTTTCTGAATAGGTTAGAGCCTGGCATGGAAAAGGCACTTCTAAAAACATTGCAAAGATCTTTAATAGCCAAGTATTTTCTTCAAATACCCATTTTACCATAGTGAAAGGCACCTAGGATTAGAACTCTAATCAGACTTAAGTTATTTAGTTGTCTTTTCTAATAGCATGTAACAGCTTTGAGGTGACCCTTTGAGCCTCCTGCCCAGAGAAGAGTTTGATACCAGCTTTATCTCCACACAGTTGCTGTGTTGGGTCAGTGCTGCTGCAGGAGTGTCCAGCAGCCCCCTGGCTCCTGCTCCAATGTGCAAATGCACAGGTCCCTTGTCCCTGACCCTGGCATTCCCAGGCAGGCATGCAGAGTCCAGCCTGGCAGCAGCTCCTTCCACACCAGGGTAATGTACAACTGTTTGTGGGCCCTTGGCCTTGCTGCTTCCTGGCAGGAGTTGTGCCACATGGAGCATAATTTATCTCCTGCTTTTCACACTTCACCCCAGCCCTACTCTTGTTCACGCAGTGTGAATGGCAGCAGCTCTGTGATGGAGAAGGAATGAGACATATCACCCCTCTGGGCCTTCTGTCTCCTCTGCCACTAAGAGGACAGATCCTTGTGGCTGAACTTCTGGGTTTGTGTGTATATATACCTGTAACTCTAAAGACAGCTCTCCTTCCAAAAAAGGGGGAAGCTTTCCACATAGGTGCTTTATTTTTTACTGTATAATGTGAGTTGTTACATGTATATTTTTATATAGCCAATTTCTCTAAGATTGGTTGTTTTTAACTGTACTGGTTTGAAGAGAAGCACAATAAAACCAATACTTCTTTTTGATACTGTGAAGGTGCAATAACACTAACACAGATTAGCAGAGAGATGATGTGAAAACACAGACCAAGCCTCTAAAGCCAGTAGTTCCCAAAGCACTGGGATGGTCATTTCCAAAAGCACCTGAACATACAACCCCAACTATTCTTTGTCACCTCATTAAATAAAAAGGAAAGCCAAAAAGAAGTGCATTATACATAGTAGCTGGAACTAGAATTTGTTCTGGACACTAGTACTGGGAGATCAGGACTCCCCAGCAGCGTTCTCTGGGAGGTTCCTGGAAGGTTTGGTGTAAAACATCACACCCTGGTCCCAGAACCATCCAGAGGGGAGCTTCGAGACTCCCAGGCTCTGAGACACTTCAGCGGTTCAACACATTTGTAAAAATCATCAGGAGGCAGTGCAGAACTGTGACCTCTGTGAACAGTGTCATTTTTATAAGGTCATGGAAGAACCCTGGTGCAATATTTTACATCTTGCAGTTGAAGATAATTAAATGTAGATTGTTGAGTCTGACAGAAATTACATGTGCTTGCTGGCAGCACCACTAAGCTTTTGGGGTGCACATCTTGTGACATTGCCTGCAATGTCTCTGAAAAATCCCTACCTCTCCCACTAACATACAGTAGGGCAAATGTCATAAAAGTGAACTGGTTTTGCTTTTACAGTACCCTCAAGTTAAATAAAAGCCTAAATGCAGTGTTATCTGGGAAGCAATAAAATTGTATCTTGGCACGTGTAAATGATTATATATTTTCTTTATGGCTTGGATTTGGAAAGGTTTATTGTACTCAATAATCCTGACAATCTTTATCAAACTAACATATTTTGCTAACAGATTTTCAGTACTCTCTGTGTACTCAGATTATCTTCTGCTGTTTCAGGAAACAATACCTTAAAAGACCTCAAAAAAACCACTTGTTTCCTGCAAGTGAAACTGCAGCTCAGGCTGGATACTAAGCCAAGGATTTTCACTGGAGCCCAGGGGAAGGTTGTTTGCTCACTCTTGTTGAAATTCAGTGGGAGCTGGGTGCTGAGACACTAAGCATTGTTGCCCACAGCTAAACATGACACTTCTGAATGCTCTGTGCACCATCCCAACAAAAAACCCACATCTGTGCTTTGACAAGCAATCACATTTTCTTCCACATTACTAAATGAATTTGGAACAGAATTAGCAGCACGCAAGAGAAAAATCCTGTTCTCATGTTTGTTCTTGATTCCTGTTACTGCTTGGAACACATTGGTATTTTCCAGGGTAAAACTGTACTTACGTGAGTAAGAATGCTGAAATCAGAGGAGCTTTTCACACAAACAGTAACTGAAAATTCAGATCCAAAAAAAGGGTTTTCTTTCCCAAAATAATGGTACTGAGGTAGCATATATCCAGCTAGGAAAAAGACAAACATGCCAATTAGAATGCGGTTTAAAATAATCAAATTATTTATTAATAGTGGGTTATGGGGTCATAGTATGCTTAGGAGCTTTTTTAATAAAGCAGAATGTAGAAGCAGTTTTAGAGAATATAAGTATCCCTGATGTGATTTCATTTTAAAGGCTCCGCTGTTTCTGCAGTTCTCCATGGTGTTTCTCTTACCAACATTCAGTAATGGCACAGTACATTCCATGCTCTGAATTTCCCTTTCAAGCTCAATGCACTATGGAAGAGTAACTCCAAAAGAGACTAGAGCTTCTGGGTTTAAATTTAACACTATTTAAGGAAAGCAAACCTTTGCTAGGGGATATAACTGTTAACATTGTGATTTTTCAAGCCTAAGGTTTCTAATGGGGTTTGACTGTTCCAGAGATAACATTTTTTTTCCTAGGTAACATATTTCAACTCATATTATGAGCAAACGTTACAAAATTTTAGTGTAATGTGAAATACTGAAATGTCAGCATTATTTATCTTCTTAATATGACTAAAACCATTAATTGCTGGGAGCCATACTTCATCCCAGCAACATGAAAATCCATTTTGTGCCTATCTTGTCAGTTATTGCCGATTTTCTTAATCAATTGTGACACAGTGAAATTCTGTTGGGAAGCATGTTTATATATTTGCAGCTGCAGGTTCTGTATGGTAACTTATTACACAGATCCTCCATTAACTCAGTTTTCACCATGACTATGCCACAATACATCAAAGGTGCATTTTTCTTACTTAGATATCTGGAATAGCCATTATTATTGCCCATGCAGTTTTAATTATTGGAATTTATGAAATGAGCTAAGTGGCTAATGCTCATTGTTTTATAATTCCATTTAATGATTCAGTCAGGTTGAATCTGTCTCCTGTTCCAATGAAAGGGACTGTACAGAACTCCCTAGAGAGAGAAGATCACAGTCCATCCTGCTACTGTTACAAGAGTACCTTACAATAGTTGCAGAATGTTTAATTATTGGCTGTGCAGAAACTGATCTTGATCCCAGTGAAGTTATCATGAACTCCTAGTTTTAAGGAATATAAGAACTACTGTAAGGCCTTGGCCACCCAAAGGCAAGCAGAACAATGGGGTGGTGGGACTGGAGGTCAGAAATAACCTTACAACCATCAGATCCTGATCTTACAACCCTGACCACTAACATTTAGGAATTACACTGGTTCATACTCCTGTGAGACAGGGTGTAAGTCTAGTTCATGGAAGGCAGTGTATAAAGTCTTTGTGGTCTGCTCAGGGAGCCTGAAGCACTTTATTGAGTCATGGTAGCATCACCCTTAGCAAATGAAGTGAGTTTTACAGAGTGACAGAAGGATCTGCAAAAAAAAAAAAAGAAAAAGAAAAAGATTTCATAGCTAAATTTTGCACAACCTGACTTGGCCTGTCGCCAAGCACTTGGAAGCATCCAGCACTTCTCTTTTCATGGCTGCAGTTTAGCTGTGCTGTGTTCCACTCATAGTGCCCAACATATTAACCATTTCCCCTCATCTCAAAGGGAGAATTGAGGATTATTTCCCATTGAAGTTTCAGGCACCTGTAAGGCTGATGTCCCTGAGACTCAAGTGCTCTATAGATTATCCCAGGCATAGTGAATTTCAGAGCAACCTCAGAAGAAGTTGTTACCAGCTTTTCCCTAGTGTGAAACAGGGAACAAGGGGCACACACCTGCACATGACACAACAGCCAATTTCACACCTGCATGCTGCCTCTCCACAGGATAAAGGAAAAAAAGCAAATAATTAAACATTCTGCAACTATTGTATGGTGTTCTTGTAACAGGAGCAGGATGGGCTGTGATCTCCTTTCTCTAGGGAGTTCTGTACAGTCCCTTTCATTGGAATAGGAGACAGATTCAACCTGACTGAATCATTTCTTCACTCTGGCAGTGACAAGGATCCATTGATCCTGGGTGTGCATTACTATTCCTATTGATAATTAAGGGACAGCCATCCTCAGCACAAGTGTTGGCTCAGGGCAGCAGAGCTCAGTTTCATATACTCCACATTAGCTGTTTTCCCTGTGTAAGAATTTATTTCATAATCATAAAGGGTCCAGATATGGTCTGGCTGGCTAACTTCTGAAGTTTTAGTGTTTTTAAATGTTTCTTAGTTGGCCTCATTTGTAATATTGGTCACATTTGTGGTCTGAAACTAGCACATACCTGAAATTCCAGAACAGCTGTATAGAACAAGTCATGGCAGGATGCTGAATCTGAGTGCTAATTAGAATGAGTACTATTAGAATCTGAGTGCTAATTAAGGGGGACACATACATTAGAAATGTTCCGTCTTATCAACAAGAATTTAGATATGCACTGAGATGTGTAGGAAATATTTTCTTTATATGGGAAGAGCCTGACAGCTTTTAAAAAGGACCAATGGGAGCACTGAAGATGAAACATTAGCATAGCTTTTGAAAATGTACCTTGAAGGAATTACTGAACTCCCAGGAGCCTGATGTTCTCAGGGCTTCTCAGGACATACCTCCAGTTTGGATAAAACTCAGAGAATTTAATGTTTCAGGAAGAAATAAAAGTGGGGATGAGGGATAGATCAACTGTAAGGTAACACAGACAAACAGAACATGGTATTGATGAGATGGACAGGTCAGAGACATCTCCCCAAATTACTCCTAATGCCCCCTCCAGCTTTAAACTTAAATATGGCTTTCACTGCATCACACAGGTTGCTGGGACACAAAAGGAAGGAATGCTACTTGAGAACCATCAAATGACAAGTGCAACAGATTTCAGATGGCTAAAACTGCCTGAAATCTTTACAGGGTAACACATAGGTGAGACATTTTAAAATCATAGGG